AAGATTTATATATTTATGCACACAGAGCTGGGGTACAGGACAGAGTGCAGAGACAGTGAGAGGATCACCAGAGACACAGTGGGGAGTAGCAGGCAGATCTACTGAAATACACTGCTGAGGGGAGCTGCAGGCGAAACAGGAGAGATTTGCTGCACCACGTGGGTCAGTTCTCTGGCCGGGGATCGAACTTGTGCTGAAGCAGTTAGAGTTAGTTCACAGTGCTGCACTTTAACCTGTCGTGCCACTAGGGAGGGCCTGAGGGTTTCACAGTTCTTCAGAACTCCTGTTGGTGGGTTTCAGATCTCCTGAGTTTCCAAGTCTGGAAACCTTTAGAATCTGATGCTGTCTGTGAGGACCAGCACACCACCGGTAGCCGAGGGAATGCTCAAGCTGTGTTTGTCAAGATGAGCATTCCCTTGACAGCTTATTTACATTTTCTCATTTATTTATCAGACTGTTTCCTTGTAGATAGCACAGAGACAAACAACTATGGGGTCTGTCTGGAGGGGTGCACTCCCAGCAGGCTGTGGCTCCCAGGACTTCATTCCCTTTAGTGACAGTTTCTCTTACTAGCACAGAGCTTTCTCCTCTTCCACCGCAAATATCTGCTGTCCCCTGAGAATTTAAGATGGACCCAGGGACTAGTGACACCCCTCCTTCCTACCCCACCCCCCAGCCCCAGGCTGCAGTGCATTGAGTTCAAATTCTGTGAGTTGTGATTCTGGAGGCTGGTCTCAAAGGACCCAAGATACATCCTGGCCCAGGAAGTTAAAATGCCAAGACCTCTCTTCCTTCTCTCCCCCCACTTCTCTCTCCGTGCCTGCCTGTCTCTTCCCTTGCTCCTCTAAATCACAGCTTGTACACAAGCACAGGCATATTATGGATGCTTATGACCAGCTGCTTCTTTTCTGAAAACAGCCTTTCAGTTGAAACATAGAGAGTTTAGATCAAAGAAAAACATCCCAATTAGTTGTTAAGATGTAGGCAAAAGAGACCTCGGAATTTGAGACAGCTTTCTAAATAGAGGCGAGCCCTCAAAAGACTCAGATGTGGCTGGTGAGACTTTGGCTCCAAGAGTTCCGCAGTGTTCTAGAGAAGACACCAGGACAGCAGTGGTGTTTGCCAAGGCTGGGTGCCCAATGAGGGACACATGTCAGCACCCCTTGATGGGAGCCATGTTGTGTGCCCCCTTCCCTCCCCAGACATTGTCTGTGCTTCAGAACGTTCCTCCCACAGCTGTCTCCTTTCTCTCCCACCCTCCATGCGCCAGGTGAAGTGCTACCATAAGAAGTACCGCTCAGCCACCCGCGACGTCATTTTCCGCCTGCAGTTTCATACCGGCGCGGTTCAGGGCTACAGACTTGTGTTTGGAAAGGAGGATTTGGACGGTGCCAGCAAAGGTGAGGGCCTGCTCCTGTGCTGTGCATGGATGCGGGGTTGGGCGTGGGGGGAGGGTCCCCCTGGGTTGTGGGCCTCCAGGCAGCCCTGTTACTTGTTTCTCTCACTATTTCCCCTACCCGCCCCTCCAATGAATTTAATCTATTACAAAATCATTGACAGTCCAGCACGGGGAAAAAGAAAAATATGTGCAATTGCAGATTCCTGAATAGTTCCTTACTGGGGAGAATTTAAGGGTATCACACTTCATCCATGCATTTTTGGCTCTAAGTTTCCAAAATTGCTCAAATATGGTTTCTTTTTCAGATGACCGTTTCCCTGATAATGGGAAAATTGAGTTGGTCTTTTCTGCTACTCCCGAGAAGATTCAAGGTAGGTAGAGGCAGATCCTGGACCAGCTGGTGACTGGAGGGTGATGGGTGTGTGAGCTCTCTGTACAGTCTCCCATCTTTGCATGTATTGGGAACATTTCTTTTTAAAAAAGATATTAAACCATAGAGGTGGAATATCTTGGAGACATAGGGCCCAGGTGGGTCAATAAGACCTCAGAGATGGCATGATTCAACCTGCAGGTTTCCAGGAATGGGGTGTGCCTCCCCCCCACCCCGTTTGCACCTCTCTGCAACCAAGAGCTAAATATTTTTAAAGAGTATTGTAAGTGCAGTAGACTACAACTCTTAATAGGCAAAATAGTGTCTTCTTCACTATACAAGAAGAATCGGCCTTTCACAGTCAAGGAGAATGGCCTGTTCTGTCACTGAGACCCATGTATGAAAGTTTTATTTTTAAAAGCCGTGGCAGGTAGTCATCTGTGACACTTTCACTCAATGTCATAGACCTAGGCATGCATGGTTACATGCATGCTTAGCCAGGTAAATCCCCTTGGCATTCTCAGAATGACTAGAGGGAGGAGTGTGGATCCAGAAGCCTGGGAGTATGACCCAATCCTGCCTGTCCCATCCACCTGTCCTGGGTAGGTCTCTGGCACCTGAGCCCTGGACTGTGAAATGGCAGTGATCTTGTGCAGAAAAACACTCAGCTCAGAACTGTCATAAGGTGGACAGAGGACCAATATCTACTTTTCCATCCCACCAAGAGATTTCACCTGTTGTTCAGTTTGTCCAAACAGTGCATCTTAGCTCTGACTCATGCCAGCGTGGTGGGCGGAAGTGGATCTAGGGGCTTGACTTCTGCACTCAAGCCTAGCTGCTCTCCCTCTTGGTCACTGAACAGACACAGAAATGTGGGCTCCTGGTTCTAATGGCTGTGTCCCCCATGCAGGATGTGAACACTTGTGCAATGACCGTGGGGTGATCGTGGACTTCAACACCGCAGACCCGCTGATCCGCTGGGACTCTTATGAGAACCTGAGTGCGGATGGAGAAGGTGCGTGTGGTTACCTGGTGTCCATTTTCTTAGGGAAGGGGCTGGAATTGTTTACATTTAGATGAGAAATGTCCTTGCCACCTGTTCAGAGAACCCATATTGTGAGTTTGAGGGCCCTTGTGAGAATCACGTTCAGGGAATTTGGTTTGGACTCTTCATACATCGGCTGCAGGAAGTAGGTGTCAGTGAAGTCACACACCCAAGAGCATCCTGGCCAAGCTGTGCTTTTCTCCTTCTTCCCTCTGGTCTGTGTATGCTGAGTGCTAAGCGTCCTGTCACAGGCAGCTGTCTGTTAATTTTGTGCCCTTGGGCAGCAGCTGTCTGGATTTTATTTGTGCTCATTGCTATAGTGTCCTGGTTGTATGGGTACAGCATTTTAAGGTCTATTTCTATGAGCTCATCTCCCCCAGATCTGTTCTCCGCTTGCCCAGTGAATAGACACAGGACTCTATCACAGCAGCATCAGGAAGGGGGTTCGACATGCAAAGTGGGAGCAGGGTGTCTCTGCTGGCCTTAACGACAGAAGCCACGGAGACTGATTTTAGAGGGATTAGGACTTGTCCTATGACTGGTTTGCAGGGACTGCAAGGGTAGTCTGTGGGGCCACTCATTTTGTACCCCAGCTGGTGCCTGCTTTTCTGCTCCTGCGCCTGGAGCCTCTAGGAACTCCATCTTTTTTTCTGGGCTCAACTCAGTGTTTCCTGAGTATATCGAAACTTTCTCGGTGGCTGGAGACAAAGTGCTTATTCTTGGTGTACCCGAGGCATGGCCGGTCACTAATGGCATGTTAATGTCTCACAGCAAGAACAGCCCTCGAACCATTTATGACCTGACTTACCCTCTACCCCCCTCTCTGAGCACCTGCATGCATTCTGAAGCACCTTTTTCTGTGCCCAGGGCACTGAGCACACTTTTCCATCGAGGGGCTCCCAGAGGGCATTGACCTTGCAAAGCTCATGGAGGGCTCTAAGTTCTCACTGTTTTACTGACATCACCTCAGCGGTCCCTGCCACCAGAATCTGAATCCTGAGCCTTTGATCCTTGTGCAGAAAGCACATGATTTCTATCCTGGGGTTGAACGTGCCCTTCCTGCACTTTTCCTTCCCCCTGCTGGGGTCCCTGGCGTTGACCCCTGCCTCCTAGGGTCCTGGGGCCTGGTGGATAGGAAGCAGGGCCTCAGGCAGCTTACACCAGAAAGTCCATGAGCTTTAGCACTCAGAGCTAGTTACTGCCGTTTAATGCTTTGAGGTGCTTTGAGGTGTAAAGGAAGGTTCGCTAGACTATGAATCACTTTCTTCCCACTGAAAAGCCGGGTGTCATAGCATCTCTTTTCTTCCCTCCTCCCCCAACATCTCTAGTCCCTACAGGTAAAAAACAAAGCAAAACAAAACTTAGCAGTATTTACGTAGGCTGCCTTTATCTCTAGAAATTGCTGACTTTGTGGAGTGGTGCACTCCATGACTGTTGTTAAAATCTGAGTGTGACCATCTGTTTCTATTCCAAGAATGGGACCCGCAGTAGATTCGTTCAGATGCACAAAGCAATCCCAAATGTTCTGTCTCCTCTGTGGAGAGGTACCCGCTCCTCCAGGCCTGATGACTGCACTCAGCACTTCCCAGGCAACACACTCTCCCCTGGAAAGAGCAGGAACTGGTGGTGCTGGGGTGCGGTATGGAGCCTGCTGAAGCCTCACAGCTCAAGTCATGCTTTAAGAACCTGTACAGCCACCTTAAAGAGAAAAGGATCAGTTCCCAAAAGATATTAAAAGTGAGAGTCTGGTGAGGGGTCCCCGAGGCCTTCTGGGCTTGTGCAAGTCTGTGATCACAGAGGACGCTGCAGAGTTGTCCTGTGTTCGGATAACAAGGGACAGACACTGAAACAGGATGGGAGCCCAGGCCCATCTGACTACAGAGTCCAAGCTGCATGCTCTTAGGCTAGGTGAAGCCTGCACACAGCAGAGTCCATGTGAGGTGGTTCAGGCAGAACGAGAAGTGACTCCCGCCCACCCCTTCCTGAGGCACACACAAACACACACACACACACACACACACACACAGAGTGCTTGCAGCTCTGCAGGGGACTGCTTGTTCCTCTGCACAGGCAGGGAGGCTGAGGCCATGGAGGGAGGACCCTCAGTGTCTTGCCAGGAGACCTACCCCAGGAGAAGCTGGATGTACTGTCTGCTAATATGAGTCAGTCACTCCATCTCCATGGTGCCGACTGCTGGGAGGAGCCTGACGCTGAATTATCAAATACTGAACATCGGTCTCTGGAGAATGCAGGCTCCCCCTGGCCTCTGTTCAAAGCATTTTCACCAACAATACGCCACCTTGTTTTCTGTGTTCTTTCTAAAGACACCTTATCTAGTGTCCTTGTTGAATCATTCGCCTGGATCGTGGCCAACAGCACTTCAGCCCCGAGCTAAGCTGCCCTAACACACGTGTCTCCTCTGGAAAGCCCAGCATCGCCTTCTTGCTCAGAACACTGCACGGCACTTCAGCACTATGCTTGGGGGTCATTTTAAACAGAGACGTCACTGACAAGAGGCGCAAAGCTGCAAAAACTGTTGCAATAGATAGACCCAAATAGAGACACGTCTGAAAGAAGTTTAAGCCCCTCAGGGAGTGTGCTCTTGAAGGCGACTCGGAATCTCTGCTGCTCCGTTCATGTCTGTGAGTGGCCACGAACGTGCCCATGTGCTGCCGACCTGGGGTTTTGGGTAAATGATTTTCCTTGAGTAGGTATATTTGCTGTCATGGAATCTTGAATAATGGGATCTACTGTGCTTGTTTTTTTTTTTTGTTTTTTTTTT